CTTTGCATCGCAACGGCACAGAAACAAGACCATACAGTCGTCCAGAACCACCGGTTGTTGCGGGAAACGATATATATCCATCGCCATTTACCGATACCGAATGAATTTTGTTGCTATAACGAAGTACGCCTAGTTAAACATGAAAAATTAGATTGGTTTTTTTTTTTTTTAATTTGAAGAGCAATTGTCTCAAAATATACTTTCTGATTGTTCAACAAAACAAAACAAAAGAAAAATGAGTGAAAATGAGGAGAACTAAGACTCACTCGCTCCAATCGGTCCAGTAGAAACGCTGTTCGTTATGGACAGTTAATCCGAATGGATACTGGAGTGGCGCATAAACGACCCGACGATTTTGTCCATTTAAGCCAATACAAGATAAATGTTGTAAGCCAGCATCTACCCAGCACAGTTCACGTCGTTCCAGAAGTACGGTAAGACCTAAATTACTTTTCTTTATAGGCCACTAATGCAATACCAATAACTTCCAGTCCTTTGTGTAGTAACTCCGGAAGTTCGATAAGAACTAATTGCTTAATTTGCATATCAAGGAGTGGAACAAATTAAATACCGTTAGGTAGATTCACTTCTGTAGATATGAAAGCAGAATTCTCGGTACCATCCAGACGTACGCGTCCAATCACTGGGTTTTCACGATGCCAATCAGAATAGTACAAATACCTAGGGATGTGTAATTTGATTTCTTTAGATGGTAAAGTATTAACTCTGGAAAATCAAACGTTAGGCAACACTATCACCTGTCAGTGAGGTCGATGGCTAACGCACGTGGATTCACTAATCCTTCATTGATAAGCGTTTTGTAGTATTTCCCATCAAGACTGGCCACGCCAATTTCATCTTTAACCGAATCTGCGTAATAAACATTACGTGAAGACCAATCAATAGCGATACCTTCCGGACTTTTCAACACTGTGTCCATAAATTTCTGTTCATTCGTTCCATTTATCGATGCCGATAAGATAGAATGACCTTTAAAAAAAATGAGAAAGAAGGAAATACTGGGATCAGCTTCTTACGTCCTTCATATAGAAACAATAACAAACTGTTATGGTATAGCAAACTGATTTTCACGTTAACAAAACACTCCCAACCTGCGCTATGTCAATTAAATGCCATAAATAATATATTTTAATATATTTATATAAAAAATAAAAATAAAAATAACAACAGAACAATTCAAATTCCATTCTTACCAGCAATGTCGCTCCAGACGATCCGTTCTTCCTGACAATCAAAATCAATACCAACTGCTATCTGATGTGGTACTACTATAAGCTAAAAGAATAAAACAGTGAATACAATTAATTAGGCTGCATGATTGCTAACATGGGTATCTCTTTTTCGAGAAAAATACCTGTTTCCCCGGTAAATCAGGGTTGACACTTCTCTCGATTATTGTCATGCCGCGACAAATAAATATGGCTTCTTCGCGACTTTCACTGTCTGCTATAATGGTAGTTTTAACAGATCATATTTGTTCAAAATACTGTTCAGCAAATCAGATCACATCAAAACAAAACAATGAAAGATACAAAATATTGATTTGTTGTTTTAATGAGGGGTACAAAAAGTGATTTTTACTGCGCAATGTGTCATCATCCCGTTGTATTTCGAAGGATCATCAATATTTCACATCTTTCACTCTGAATAAAAGCCAGACTCCTATCACTGGACATTACATACGTGTGCAAGTTCGGCCATTCCCATGATATCCGTAGTGACAGTTGCAGATGTAATGACCATATTCGTTTGGTACGCATTCTGCATGCTCGTCACATAATGACCGATCGTCCAAGCAATTAGCTGTAATGATGTGCCAGCATTAGAGACTTGTCCATATTACCTGAATTATATGCGTCATTCTATCACAAGTAACTATCCATCAATATTGGTTTTAAACTATTTAAGTTTTAATGCTTATTGATAAAATAAGCATTAAAAGAGCATCTTCACATAATTACCACACATAACATCACTATAAATGACGCGTAATGCAATATTCGTAATAAGTATATAATTCGCGACATTCACGCAATGTCGCAATTGTTTTAATGTCGACCTTCTCTTGTGCTTGAAGACAACCACGTTTTATCTTCATTCTAATAATTCTGTTAGTAGTAATCAATCAAACAATTAGAACAAGGAATACTTGTTATCTCATTTACAACTTACCACTTCCATTTGTCTACTTCTGCTAATAAATGCAACATCATAGTGCAAAGTTAATGAAAGTACAAGGATTAATGACAAACTGTATAATGTGCACAAATGTCCATTGCCTATATATCCTTGCATGCAACGACATCTCCATGAATCATCTGCTTCATCGTGCATACATCGTGCATGTGATGAGCATTCACCACAACGGTGCATTTTGACTAAAACAACAACGACCACGTGCAGGACAGACTAATTTCAAAGATTAAATCTTTCCCAAATCACTGAACGCTCTTGATGAAACATCCAGTAGACTGTAAATATCGTTATGACCTAGAGTTAAGATTTCAGTTATCTCATAAATGGTGTGAATAATATAATGGAGATGAGAAATTAGAGAAAGATTAAGGAAATATAGTCAAACTAAGATTAGGATTTTAAGGTCGAGCTATTGGCTTTCAAAAGTTAAGCAAAACGTTAACTGATCCTCAATATTAATCAAAATGTTCACTAATCTTCAATAAATCTGAAAGCAAAGATAGGTAATTACTTTCTATTTACATGGTACTTGAGATTAAAGTTGAACACTTTCGACTTCATTTCTGATATTGAACTCTAGTCCTATGTTATGTACCCCTTGCACTTCATTCTTCACATCAAAACGCAACCTTCTTCACGGCAATTTTCATATCCGTCGCCAGTGGTGCCATCTTTGCAAATACACTTGTGTCGTCCTTCATCTCTGCTATATACACATTGCGCATTTTTATGGCAAATTCCCGGTTGTTCATTGCATTCTGTTAAATGTCGTGCTACACACTGTCGTCCATCATCAACAAAACCTTCAAAATTTAATGATAGTTCTGGCCATTTAATGATAGTTCTAAAACTAAAAGTGCAATTCGCATAAATTTAAAAGAAGAGGAGAAACTAACCTTGCGCACATTTGCAAGTGTACGTTCTCTCAACTTCTCCAAACACACAAACAGCATTCTTGTGACATGCATGTTCATCACCAGGTGTGCAATCATCTATAATTAATTGGAATTCCGCTGAAGGAAAGCCATAATTTAGCTTAAGCAGCTTAGAAGAAAAATGCCGAAGTCAAAGAATTAGTCCATAAATTAATCTTAATAATTTAAAATATTTTTTATTTAATAATAATTTGCTATTTATAAGAATAAAAGATGGAATAATTGGTAATTAAGGAATCCTCGTCAATACGCAATTTTCGATAAATGCGAACTTACCAAATCCCTTGATAGCTGTAAGTCTTAATGGACTCTTTTTGAAGATCAACATATGTACCCAAGGAAACTGCACATGGGAAATGAATTAAGGATTATCAAATCCCTTGATAGATAAACAGTCGCAAAAAAAAATCCAGCATTGTCCCTCATTTTTAAATCAATCAAACCTGCAGCAGTACATCGAGTGACACCATCACCTCGATAGCCAGGTAAACATTCGCAAAAATAATCCAATGAGTTTTCACGAACCACACAGTGCGCATTTTGATGACAATCACTTGCTTCGCGGCAAGTTTTAGCATCTGCTGGTTCTATAAGAAAGTTCATTTTGCAGAAAAATTGGCTTTTTGAGGATTGGCTTTCCTGATATTTAATATAAGAATGACAATTGATGGTTCAAATCAAGCAACACTAATTAACTGCTTATTATTATTATTAATTATACTTTTATCTTGCTCTCTGGGAAATACACCAAGCAAACCATGAATAGAAGTAATCTGCAAAAAGGAAAGTACGAGATACTGACAGAGAAAGAAAGAAGACGTTTGCTTATCTGTATCAGAAACTGTTCATTAAGGGATGACTTTCTGGATTCAGTTAGATGAAAATGTGGCATAATTAGAGGAGGAACAGAATGCCATATTCATTAAAACAGCGTAGTTTGTACGACAGCAAAAAAGTGAGGGAAAGAGTAGAAGAAGCTACCAGGAAGCAAAGATGGCAAAAGGGTATTTTGTCGCACAGTCTCACACATGTATCCGTCACCATCAAAACCATCCAAGCACCGACAATAATGACGACCGGTATATGCATCCAGTACACACACCGCATTCAGGTCACAATTACCCAACTGATCACATCCTAACACAGCATCTGCAAAATCCGCTAATGTCGCACAACCAGCTTTTTAAGAAATGTCAGTTGAAGCAATTTAGCTCAAATTGACTCATCTGTTGACAAATAACAGATAGGTCCTTTTCCACAAACATTTTTGAAACTTCTTTGAAATGACAATAGAACTTTTGGTATATGAACTTAGCTTGGATAAACAATTTAACTTTATGTATTATACGGATACCACATTTCTTCGAAACATATATGTATTGTTGAAAGTTCAAAAGATTTTGAACTTTCCTTATATCCAATTAACATTTTACTCCTCTCTTAAGGATCAATTTTGCATGAAGCGTTGGGAGAAGCATAGGAATTTAAGCAGCGTACATGCAGGAAGATTATCCAGTGAGGTCATAGTGCATCGATGACCATCTCCCGAGAATCCTGGACGACAGCGACAACGATATACACTTTCGTCACGATCATTCTTTTCAAAAATGCAATCAGCATTAGTATTACAATTATTAATCACATTGCAAGATACTCCTTCTAGAAATTCATTGCTAGAATCTGCAAAAATGAAGGAGAAGCAGATGGGTAGAAAAGTTTAAAAAGCTAAATTGTTAGTATCTTTTGAATGATACCAACAATTTTGCATTAAAAAAATGGAAAAGTATTTCAGAAAAATATGGTTGAAACAATAGATTTTTTTTCTGTGAAAGTCTTTAACTGATCCATATGCTACTGAAGACGAAGGGTCACGGACGAAGTTTAGGGTAGATCTTCAGTCTAACTAAACTTCTATTTATAAAAGAACTGTGAAGTTTTTCTGCAAAATATTTCATACTGTTTCCTCCTTTTGATTCTACACAATTCACTCCATCACTAAAATACGGTGGTACGCAAATACAACGGTAGACGGCAAGTTCATTGTTGTACACGCAGTTACCGTGTTTCCCGCATTCGTCATGTGAACGGCAAATCTTGCCTGTAATTAATTTCAAATTTAATTAAAATTTGCTACACTTCTGAATCCACATGCTGTCAGATTCTTTTCACAGCCCTACGCAAAAGATTTCCTTTTGCACGAGTCAACTCAAACAGATCAAAGTCACTATAAATTGTTTCCTTAAACTGAAATGATGTATAAAATTTAGTTTTTTGTCAAATGATATATGTAAATATCAAGAAAAAAGTGCAAACCGATTCCAACACTAATATCGCCAGAATCTCCTGTAGCGTTCGGTTTTTTCTGGTCACTAAAATGAGGGACACAACTAATTCCATTACCGTGATAGCCTTTCTGACACTCACATTGCTCCTAGAAGAATGAAGATGAAATTTAAATTAGACGATGAAAAAGAAATATATTTTGGTCGCTCAGGATCACTGAACGTTGATAAGAAATGAATCAGTCAATGTCGTGCGCTTTGATGAGAATACTTCTGTAGAATGCATGATACGTTTTCAGAGAAACCCATGTAGTTCCTGAACGATATTTTTTATTTGCTTTTACTATTTTGCGTTCTGTACCTAATAAATTGTTTGGTGTTGTTTTAATATTTGGGTCTATTTTTGTTTTGTTGGTTTTTATTTGGTTTAATAATTATCAGGCTATGATGGATAATATTTTATATTTTTTATCTATATGTTTTGTTTGAGTTTTTTTTTGGTTGACTTGGGCCGGTCATTATCCCACTGATTATCCATTTAGTTATTTTAATTTGATTTGTACTATTTTTTATTTTATTTTTATTTTTTTTATATGTTTTGTTAATTTTTTAAGTTTTAAATTATTTAGTTATATTTTTAGTATAATAAGTATTGTAAATTTAGAATTTATAGGTAAAAAATATAATTTTTTTAAAATTTCGCAAGTATCATAAAATGGAGTTTAGTTATTACCCTATTATATTTGGGCTAGGTGTGTTAGGTATTGATTTTGGATTAGTTTTGTTTATGAGTATAGGTATTTTTTGTTCTTTTTTTATTTGTCTTTTATATCTTTTATATGTTTCCTTTTTATGGATAAAGGATGTCTTTTTGGAGGATGTCAGTGGTCAGTACTCTTTTTATGATTATCGGATATTTAGTCAAGGGTTTCGTTTATTTTTATTTAGTGAATTGACTTTATTTTTTTCTATTTTTTGAACTTTTTTGGATTCTTCTCTGTGTCCTTTATCTTTATATTTGTTTAAATTCTGATGTTTTAACTTTTGTTTTTTATGTGGGATTTTTACTATAGTTTTTTCTGGATTTTGTGCTTTAATTGAATAGGATGCTAAGAAAGTTGTTGCTTTGAGTACTATGTCTCAAATTGGTTTTTGTTTTTTGGCCATTGGTAGGGGGTTGCACTATATTTCTTTTATCCATATAATTAGTCATTCTTTTTTTTGTTTTCAGAGAAACATTCTCACAAATTACTCTTATAAAAACGCAACATTTTTCAATTTTAAACAAGTTGGTAATATGTAAATATTTTGCTTTCGCCCTCTGTTTGAATTCTTGGTTATTTTCGGAATTGGTGAAGATAAACAGTTATTTGAACTTACGCTTCCTGATGATGAGTCACAGTATGCATTTACGTCACACATATATTCTCCGCATGTTTGTCCCGCTTGTTCTCGATTAGAATCTTCAATCACTACCTGCTTGACTTCTGTCTCTAAAATGTATCTTTCTTACAGTATCTTCTTAAACCAATATGGCCATAATTATAGAGCATAAATGACATTATGAATAATTGTTCCAATAAAACACATAAACACATAAAACAAACCTGTCGGTGGTCCACAATGATGCACACCATCACCTGTATACCAGCCACGACATTTACAGTAGCCTAGTTCCCCATTCCGCCCGAAAATGCATTCGCCCCACTGATGACAATCGCGATGATCGAGACAACCGCTTCCAGTCAATGGTCTTTTATTTTCAAGTTCACCATCAACTCTGACTTCTAAAAATTTCTTGGATCATTAGGAGCTAGGAAATAAATTTCAGTAAGCTGCTGAAGTGAACTAACAAAATTGCAAAGTAAGAGATCAAACATTCGATGAATTTTAATTTGTTAAAAAATAATCGTTAAAAAATAATCAAACATACATAAGAAAACATTTTATGCGGCAAAAGAATCGTATATGTAAGACAAACCTTCATTTATTAGATTTAACCAAACAAAAACGAACTTAAAATGTTTGTGCTATATCTTCCGACTGGTCAAGAAATTAAATTTTAGGTACCGAAAAAATTTTTAATAGGACATTAATAAAGAAATTTATTTTTACTTGTTTTCAGTGAATGGAATCTTGAGCTGAAAGGTGTTGATACACGTGATAATATCATATTATGCTGTGTTATAAAAAACGAAAGAAACAATTATAGTCTTCTCGTAAAAGCAGATTAAAGAGTATATGAATAGAAAGTTTACCTGTGTATAAATTCTTGTATCGGAAAAGCTACTGGTATAATTGAACCGGGATCATATATTTTCTGATACAATAGCAATTATTTAATTATATGTAAAAGAGAAAGAAGCCAAATTATTACTTCGGCAATGATATCCATCTCCTTCGTATCCATCAGCACAGCGACACTCAAATGTACCTTCCAAATTGATACAGATGGCATTACGATTACATTTATGCTCTCCTCGTTCACATTCGTTCATATCTACAGTAGAATACAGATTACCACTGAACTATTCCAGCACATCTATTCTATTTGTTTATAGCATAGATTATTTCAAATTGAAAATAACTGAAAGTCAAAAGTGTCAGCAGTTCTGTTTGCAATCTCAAGAAATTAAATAACTTCATTTCAGATTGAAACTGACCAATACATTTCCAGCCAAGCTCTGTGTCGTTGTCGTACTCAGCTTGATATCCTTTTACACATTCACAACGGTACGAACGTTCCACCGGGGCACAAATCATATTTGGCGATTTACATAAGTGTCGACCACTTTCACACGCATTCTTAAATTATATTCAATATTTAATTATTAAAGTCGTCACGTGAGAGCTAGAAACAATGAAAATTCAAAATATAAGTTATGGTTACTTGTAGACAATTAGTGCATGGTGGTCTCTGATTCTCTACATTTTCCTTCTGCAGATGATATTCTTGATTACGGTACTGTTGTTGTTGCTGCTGTTGTAATGATTGTTGATTAGTATGAAGTAATTGGTGATGATCTGTACCGGATGGAGCTATCATGATATTAGAGTCTCGTTTTGTTGCCATATTTGCTGATGCATAACGTACGATGTGCTCTTCAACATCGTAAACAACATGAATCCGACTAACGTGAATTACGACCACTGGATCTTTCGTAAACTGCAAATGAAAGGAAACGGTCCGAATTACATAAACAGAATCTGATAGATCACGTTGATATTGTGAAATGAAATGCTACTAAAATTTGCAAAATACGGTAAATATGTGAATAATAATAATGAGCTTTCGTTATAATCAGATTAGAAAAATTAATATTACCGTAAGCAATCAGATTAGTTTTATTGTAAACAAAAAATAAATAAACGTTCTAAAAAAATAATAAACTAATTTCTTCTTATCACTTCTCTTGAATGGTTGAATCATTATGAATAAAATATCCAAAAGCAACTTGAAAACATAAACAATAGATGCATCACGATGATGATGATCACAGCTATAGACAAAGGTATGCTAAGGACCGATCGTAGCTTCACATTTACAGTTTGTTTACTTCTCTATGCTTAGCTTTAGTCTACATAAAGCCACTTGAGCAATTACCTCTCTAAATGGACATTCTTTATAGTGTATTTGTTGGTCAGTCGATAGCTTCATTTGTGTTTCCACACCATTTTCTTTGATCGTTACCATCTGGGATGAGTATGATCGCAAAAATCCTGCAAATTTATTTAACGGTTTTTTAAAATTTCAGAATTTATCAGTTTTTTTTTCAGTAAGAAATTATGTTTAATAAGTTAATTGTAAAAATAATTTCATTACCAGGTCCTTCACGCCTGTATTCTTCGTCATGATCTGAATAAATTACCTCTGCACCTTCCATCAAAATAGGCAACGTCCCTGATATAAACATCTAAATTTCCAATAATACATGTTTTATCGATAAATATAACTGTAAATAATATTGCATATTAGGGTAAGATTCCTTCAAAACACTACTAACTTTAGTATCAATGACACTTACATGTGCTTTGAAGTAATGATAAATGTCACGGCCAGAAAACTGTTGCTTGATTGTTACCATGTATCGATCTCCAATATGAACGTTTACAGTACGATTAAAAAGTCCACCTGTAAAAATGTAACAGTGATGAAAAAGTGTTTTTTAAATGCTAAGGAAATTCCTCTTTTTTTTGAAATTCAATCACTTTATTGAAATTTAATTACAAAATTTAGTGGATTTTGAAGACTGAAATAAAAGAAAAGGATGAAATGTTTATAAAAGAAAATGAACCTGTAAGCATAAATCCGTTATAAGACGTCGATGACACCACCTTAAATTTTATGGGATATATTTTATACTTTTATTATTACTTTACATAGCTATGCCATAAAAATTGGTCAAGTCGATTGCATATTAGACGGATTAAATTAGCTAAATATTTGCGTTCCATTCAATATTTACCACTTGCGCTATGTATTTATCTTTGTTGCATTTATAAATTCTCTATTAAGTGATGGCATTATTAATAGACCCTATTATCAAGTTACTGGGAAGTTAACTTTTGCTGGAAACTTTGATTCTAGTAGCCTTAAAGTATACGGTTATCTTGTAAAGCACTCTGCAAAATGTTGAAGTTCTGCTACACTTCTTTCAGTTTTGCATTTTACTTCACCTTCTTTTAATTTCTTATTTCTTTTAAATCTTAAAAGATTTTGTATTTTCAACTTTGATAAAAAAACCTTAGCAAACAACCATCCCATAGCACTACCAATCGCATTCAATAATAGTAATGATCTTCCAATCTCTGGCGGTATTTGTGAAAGTGCTGTATAACTTCGACCTTCTTCCACCATCACATAGGTGTGTAACTCAGTTCGATCCATTTCTTTACCATTTATCACACCCTCAAAGCCACCATTGATTCTTTGTGGTTCCCCTAAAAAGACTAGTTCATTGTTGAGCCTCATTAATAAGCAACCCTTAAGATAAACTGTTGATGATCCTTAAAAAGTTCTTTTAACCGATCTGTTCAGATAATTTAAATTAACTCAAACTCATCCAGATTTGTTTAGAATTGGCTTCACTTTATTCTTGAAAATGATTCATAGATTGCAGACAGAAAATATGATAAAAGTTTACCGTCTTTCAAACATTCTTCGCCATTACCGTAATAGCCCGGTAGACATTCACAACAGTAACCTGGATTATAGTCATTGCATTTGGCGTGCAAACTACACGGTTGCACCTAAATTCTTTCTTATTGTTTATTATTTTAGCTATTGCTAGAATTAATCGATAAGATATGCAATAAGATGTAATTGCCTCTCTTTATCATTTCATTATCCTATTCGGTCACCGACCATATTATCACTGATATAGTCAGCAACGATATCTTTAACAATACCTTACTACCAATCAGACTCAAATTTTATCGAACTATGTTTGAAAAATTTTAAAACATTTTAAACAAAATAATATCATAAG